GCGGCAGCGACAGATATCGAAGCCTCCCACCTTGAGTATTCTCACTGCGTCGCTGCAAGAGCAGATGATACAAAACCGTCAGCAAGCTCCTTGGTCACTCCCCATTGTTCCAAATAGGTGTATTCGGGAATAGTGTCGCAATAAGGGGTCCCATTTCTGGACCTCACTTCCGAAGCTGAGAAAAGAACATGCGCACGGATATCTGTAAGGAGAAGCAATTTGCCTTTAGGGCCATTCACTCCAAGACGATACTGCTGGGACCAAGAAGAGTGAGACGAAAACTTGTCCAGGCAAGCTTTCCAAAGCTTCCCCAAAATCTTCTCCTTGAAACGGTGCTCAAACCGTTTGTCGGGCATGGCCCGGAGCTGGGCCACTTGTTGGGATGCGGGGTCAGTCCAATTCACCTTGTTCTCCTGTGCCCGCAAGACCTCGATAATGGCACCGGCACTTGCCTCAGATGGGCAGTCAAAGCTGTACTGGCGCTCGAAGTTGAAAGCGCGGGGTCGCAAACCTGGATGGTAAGCTGGATCCACGATAGGCTTGATCTGCTGGTCGAAATGGTTCTGAAACGTGGTACGACTGAACATGTCAGGAAAGCCTTTCACCCACACACGTTTAGGATTGAAGCCAGGGATGGGAGAAGAACCTGGCGGAAGCTGGCTGCTCGAACGGCCCCCAGCCAGACCACGATGATACTTAGCGGGCGGCTCGGTGGCAAATCCGGGAGCGTTGCCCGCGTCGTTCGACTCGAGGAGTTCCAGACGGCGGAATATTTTCTGAATGGATTCTGTGTGCTCTTCAAGGGTTTCCTTCACCTTCCTCAGCTCTTCCAAGCCAAGGGAGACCTTGTCGAGCTTATCATGCACCGCCTTGTCATTCCTTTTCATCTGGTCCATCAACCCTTTCTGAAACGCCAGGAAGGCCTCCAGAGAAACAGGAGCACTCGACATCGCCTTATGTGAAGTACGGGAATGTAAGGGGGTACGGGAATGTAAGGGGGTACGGGGATGTAAGGGGGTACGGGAACGAAAGAAACAAGAAAGCTTGAGCCACTTGAGCCAAAATGGCTTGAACCAAATGGCTTGAGCCAAAATGGCTACGGAATGATGATGATGATGATGATGATGATGATGATGATGATGATGATGATGATGATGATGATGATGATGATGAGGGGGCCGAGGGCTCCTCGCGGGACCGTCCCATCGGCCCAGAATATAGGCTGTCGGGACGCAGGTCTTCGGAAGCCAAGCTTCCAGCGCGATGTAAGACTGCTCGAGAGGCCCGTCTTGGGGCCGTCTTGGGGGCCTCTTTGGCCGTCTTGCGGGCTCTCCTCGGGGCTGGCAGGCTGGCCCAGGAAACGGGCGCCACTGAAACAACTCCTGTGACTGTACGCTTTGGGAAATTGCTCTCATTTCTTTTTTTACTCTACTGGCCCAACCGTCCAACCGCCCAAGACTACCCAAGCGGCCCTCAGCGTCGCCGCAGAACGGCCCTCAAGCTCTCAGGAGGGGGCCCCAGGAGGGGGAACTCGAGGCGGCCCCAGGAGCCCACTTTCCAAGATGGCCACCGAGACTGCCAGCAGGCCCCCAACAGGCCCCCAGGATGCCTCAATATGCCCCCAGGACCCAGGATGCCTCACGAGGCTCCCGAGAGGCCTGCAAGAGCCCTCCACCAGTTCCCCAACATGACCCCTCAAGAGCTCCCAAAAGGCCTCTGGTCCACGACCCAGGCACGGTGGCGGGATGGACCACGACTTACTTCCTCCGGCTCTCCATCTCCACCCCTCCCCTCCCCTCCGCTCCTCCCCTCCCCTCTCTTCTCCTCTCCTTTCCTCTCCTCTCCTCTCCCCTCCCTTCCTCCTCCTCCTGCGCATGCTCCTCCTCCTCCTCATTCTCCTCGTACCCCTTCTCGCGTCCGTAGCCTTTCGGCTCAAACACCTGGCGCCCAAGGAGCGTAGATCCTCCTTCTGGCTCGCCTGCGTCATGGGCCCCGCCCCGCCGCCTCAGCGAGGCGTGCTTGTGGCTAACGCAACACTGGACCTATATCTTGCCAGAGTCAGGTTTCATTTCATTTTGTATGTTGGTGTTGCCACAACGCTGCGTTGCTGAACGCGTGAGTTGTTCTCATGCGGGGCCGACATTATCCGCTTTCCTGTGCACCTTCCTCGATGTCCGTCTCGGGTGTGGGGGCCATGGGGGGAGCCTGGTTGTGCTTTGACTCAGCCGTCCTCGAGCGTACATCAGAATTGTGGTGGGCTGGATTGTTAGGATATTGGTTTTGGTGGATTGCGGTTCGAGGAACCTGAGAGTGCATGGGTTGTTCGCGCATCGTTACTCATTTGAGTTTGGTGCTGGCCTGCTGTATTCAATAATGGGATATTCGCGGCCATGATTGCATCCTACGTTTGAGGGCCCTGAAGGTGCACGGTTGCTCGCATCATCGTCAGTTCCGTTTCGTGCTGGCCGTCCGCATTCAATAATGGTGAATTTCGCGGCTATGTCCATAGCCTTTCGGTTCCACAGCATACACTGAACTCGGCGTACAATTTGAGTTGCCAGTGTCATGCAACGTTCGGAGGCACTATCACGAGCGTGTGCTCGCCCAGTGCTGCTTCGTGGTGCTCTTCTACTGGCTCCTGGAGCTGGTCATGGTGGTCAGTGTGCTCGCTTTGAAGGTCAGACTTCGTCTCGTGGTCATGCTCTCTCAGCGCCCCCTGGGGGCCGAACGGTCATTCATTGTCCCTGGGCGCGTGGCTAAAGTGGGTTTCCGCGGTGCGGATTGTTGTTGCATTTCTGCGTTGTTGCTGCTGCGTTGATTTTTCATTTATAACAGCAATTCGTGTTTACCCCCTTGCGCCACATATTGACTTGCTGCCCCCCGATTTACCACAACAGCATCTCCCGCCTGATAATTCCCGACACGTTATTCAATTTCACGCTCCCGCGCGGGACTTCCTCATCATTGCTTGCGTGAGTCACGCTCTCGCTTGAATTTCCCTTGCGATGTATTGTGGCGCCTGGCGCCCAAGACGAAGGAATCCCGCTTTTGCTCTGGCCTTTCTCCCGGTTTACTTTGGGATCGCGCTTCAGCAGCCCGCCTGCTCGACCTGGCCGCCTGGGCCCACCTTCCCGACCCACCCGTTTGGGTCTACCCGCCCGATCTGCCTGGCTGGTTCTGCTACGTGTTTCTGCTCCGTAGCCCCCATCCTGCTAATCTCTCTCGTGCTCCATCGTTCTCCTTCCACGTTGTCCCTTCGCTCCATCCGTCCCGTCTTATCCTTTGTAAGGGCTGCGCCAAATACGCGTGACAGGTAAGGAAGATATAACTGCAGTGGGGTACGAACGAAGACGAAGAGGGCGGGTATCCAAGGTTTGGGATATATACGTATGGCACGCGAACAAATGAGAACGAACAATGTAATTGGATCCTCACATCTCAAACAAATATGGTTGATCCCCCCTCCGGTGCACCTTGTGTTTTTCAACTAGAGTGCTCCTCCCGGGACTCGCACCCGGTGTTTTATCAGGACAAGCCCCTTGGTCCTCAGACTGCGCCCCTGGCCCCTTGTTTACAAGAGTACCCTATAGCGGCTCCAGCCTGATGGATCCTTCTTCACACTCGCGCTCTCGTGCGGGACTTTCTCATTTATGCAGGGATCGGGCTGTCGCGTGTTATTTAATCCGCCGACCCTGTCGGCGTGTGTGAGGGGCTCTTCCGTTCGAGTCGGGCTTTCCCGTTCGACTCGTCGTCGCCGTCTTCCTGAAATCCATTCACCTGGGCCCTCTTCCTCAGACAAGCCGTCCACAGCGAAATTGGACGTCGTAGTTCAGTCGAAGGGAAGCCCCTTCCCTTTGATCCCTTCCCCGCGCGGGGGTGGGGTCCCGGGAGGGTCCTGGGGGGGTCCTGGGGGGTGTCCCCACCCAGATTCGTTGTCCTCCCGGGAGGTAGCAAGGCCAAGAAAAGCTACAAGACGGGCCAAGAGCGCCCCAAGACATCCCCAAGACGGTACAAGAACGCCACGCATCGACGAACGATCGCCCCAAGATGTTCAAGACTGCTCGAAAACGGCCCCAGAGGGCCCCCGAGAAGCTCCAAGAGAGCGCAAAGAGCAATCCCAAGAGGGCCCCAGGAGCCCAAATCGTCAATTTCACATTGGTTTTTGAATGATTTCAGCCTTCTCGCCTTTTCGGCTTTCCGACGGTCCAAGACGGCCCAAGAGGCCCCCAAGAGCGCCCCAAGACGGCCCAAGATGCCTCCAAGAGGGCTCCACGACTCCCCAAGAGAGACGCAGAACGGCCCAAGAGGCGCCGAAGATGGCCCAAGAGGGCCCCAAGACGGGCCCAAGAGAGTGCCCAGAGAAGGACGAGGAATCGAGAATTCGAGACTTCCGCCCCATGAGGCCCCCAGGAAGCCCCAAGAGGCCTCCAAGAGGCTCCAATAGCGCTCAAGCGGCCCCAAGAGGCCCCAAGAAGCTTCCAAGAAGCTCCCAGGAAGCCCCACGAGGCCCCCAAACTGCTCCCCAGAGGCTCCCGATAGCGCTCCAAAGAGACCCACGTCAGCGTCGTCGTCCTCGCCGCATCCCCCCCCTCCTCCTCATGCCACTCCTCCTGCCCCTCCCTCGGAGCCTCCTCCAACTGCTCATTCCTCCTCCTGCTCGTCCCCCGCGTCCTCCTGCTGCCGCCCCACCTCGCCCACCGCCTCCTCTTCCTCTTCTGCGCATCCTTCTGCTCATCCTGCTTGTCCTCCTGCTCCTCCTCCTCCCTCGTCTTCGTCGTCGTCGTCGATCAGGGTCGGCGGCACCAGCCGTCAGGCCTCTCCAATCACCATTTGTTGCGGCGCCTTGCCCCTAAGGCTCAGGAATCACGCTCTCGCCTTGGATTCCTCCACGATTTACTTGTGAATTGCGCTATCACTCGAAACCTCCTTGCGATTCATGTTGGATTGACGCTTCAACGACCCACCCGTTCGATCCGGCCGTCTGGGCCCGCCCGACCGACCTGCCCGTGGGTCCGCCAGCCCGACACGCCCGTCTGGTTCTGCCACTTGTACTGATGCTCCTGACCCTCCTCCTGCAAATCTCTCTCGTGCTCCATCCTTCTCCCTCCCCCTTCTCTCATTCCTCCTCCCTTCTTTTTCTTGTTTTATGGGCTGCGCCAACTACACGCCGTTTGTAGGGAATATATATATATATATATATACTCTCAAGGGGGGTACGACCGATGACGAAGAAGGCGGGGATCGAGGGCTTGGGATATACGTGCTGGATGGCACGCGAGCAGATGTGTTAAAACTGTTGTTGAACTCCCACTCCTGAGAACTAATTATAATTGTTCCCCCCGCAGGTGCACATTGTGATTTTTAATTGGAAATGCCCCCTTTCGGGGCTCGCACCTGGATTATTATCAGGGAACATATTTCTGCTCAGACTGGGTTGTTGCCCCACTGGCTACCACAACGGCTCCCTCCCCTGATGCTTCCCCCCTCGCTCACCCGCGCCGCTGCCCGATAGGGATCGGGATTCGGGGGTGGAGGCATGCCCCACCACAACTGCTCAACCGCTTAGCTCCCAGCACCCAACGCTAACGCGAACGCCACCGTTGGCGTGGCTTTTTTGGGGCCGAGCCGCACTCGCGCCCGCCAGCCCGACACTCAGCCTCCGCAGCTGCTGCGATCGCGTCACCAAGTTGCTCCGACGACGGTGACCTTTTCTCCCCATTCCCCCTCTGACGACTGCATGTCCTTTCTCCTCCACCGTCTCAATGTGCGTGGCCTGCCCAGCAGCAGAGGCCAGAGGAGGTAGCACAAGCTCGACCACCCACAGTCGCAGGCCCGCCTTTAAGGTCGCATGCCAGCCCCTCCCAGAGCCACCCACCCGCGCCGTTCTGGCCTCACTGTGTCCAGCCAGCCCAGCAGTAGAGCCAGGGCCACCCGCCCGCGCCGCTGACGTCCTCAACGTTACGTGGCCTCCTTCCGCGTCTCTCCAGCAACGCACTCCAGGCAACAGAGGGCCGGTGCTAAGCCCGAAGAGAACTGCAAACACGCACCGAGATGGAATGGAGATTGGTGGCGAACCGCCAAAACGACAGGGCCCCTAGCGGGCCCAGGCCGCGCACGGCCGCCTGGAGCCTGTCTCATCGCGCGCGTGCAGAGCAAGGATGAGGTGGTGGTTGCGCTTTCGGTGACGGTGGAGGCAGGGAGTACACCAAGACCCTCGACGCGGACAATGTCCAGCGCCAGGCCCGCCACCACAATCTTCTCATTTTGCCTTCACGCACCTTTTTCCCTCATTCCGGTCAACCTCAACGCCTCACCCCTTTCTCTTCTCCCTTCCAGGTTAGTCGCAGCGTCGTCACCGCCGTTTCGTCGTTCCTATATAGTCTCCCCTCCCCCGGGGGACTGAACTAACTATGCCATCCTCGAGGGTCCTCTGCACTGTCGCTTACCTTCTTTCTGCAGTACTAGTTTGATCCCCCTGCCAGGGGCGAGCGCCCCTGAGGGGGGGGGGATGGCCGCGTTCGCAGACCCGCAGGCCGAGAAAGAGAGAAAGAGATAGATAGAGAGAGAGAGAGAGAGAGGAAAAAAAAGAGAGGAGGAGGAGGAGGAGGAGGAGGAGGACGATGGAGGAGGAGGAGGAGGAGGGAGAGAGCAAGGATGAGGGCAATGAGGGAGGGATATGGAGGAGCACGAGCAGGAGGAGGGATGACGAGCATTCAGGACGAGGAGGAGGAGGAGGAGGAGGAGGACGATGGAGGAGGAGGAGGAGGGGGAGCGGGAGGAGCACGAGCAGGAGGAGAGAGTGCGCTGGAGGAGGCGACGACAACGATTCGCGAAGACGCCCCCTTCTCCTGGGGCGCCCCTCGCGCGGGCGGTCCACCGGCGAGAGCCGGCCCTCGCCGAGCAGCCACAGCAGCATGGCCTTCAGCGCGGGGCTCGACCGGGCGGGCTCGTCGCAGGCGGCGAGCAGCGCGTCGGGCGACAGGTACTGCGGGCGGACCCTCCGGCCCCTGGGGCCGGCGCCCCCGCGGAGGGGGTCAGCCGCCCCGCAGAGGCGCTCCCCGAGCGTGCTGTCCAGGAGGCCAGGAGGGGGCCCGAGGGCAGCACCCCTGAGGTCCTGTCGCTTCAATCTCTTCGAGCGGGGTGTGGTTTTCTTGCCTCGTTTCGGGCCACGGGACCATCGCAGGTCGATCGGGCTTGACACATGGCGCGGCAAAGTGGGGCCCAGGGCTCCAGTCGTGATAGTTGACGATGTTTCATGTTTTCCCGACGTTTGATCTCGAGGACTCTCCCTGGATGAACTCTAAACAGCATGAACATGTTTTCTCGGAGGCACAAGCGGATTTTCTTAGACCTGCGCTGACCCCCTTTCCCTGGCGCGCGGAGCGCGCTCAAGTGGGGCCCGACGCCGATCTTAGAAATCCGCTTGAACCTTCAAGAGAACGTGTTGTTGCAACTTTTTGTTCTTCCGCACCCCGAGCCCCCCTCCCCCGCAAGGTCGCCCTCCCCCAGTGGGGGGGGGGCCCACGGGAGGGGCACCTGCTGCAGACCTGTCCAACATCGCCGGATTGATCTGTGCTGATCCCACGGCCCGAATCGAGGTAGCAGAAGCGCCTCGCCCAGAAAAATTGGGGCGCCAAGATATCAGGGTGCCCACCCAAGCGGCCCGCGCCTTATTGAGCCGTGCCCCTCGCGAGCCTCCCTCGCCACGAAAAGCTCGCAACAATCATAAACATGGAGGGCGGGCCGTTTTTCAACGGTGTCCCACAGATTTAGAGCAACGCGTATTCGTGTAATCAGGTTCCAAGAATGACACACATACAAGGCAAGTAGTTTTCAACATGCGGCTCTCGCCTCAGTGCCGCGCACATGTGCTTTATCACTGTGCAACAAACACAAGGATGGAAAGTGGATCGTTTTCAAGACGTGACTATCTTTTGCATGCCGTGCGCATTCGTCTCGAAACCCAGCGTTCACAATGATGAAGGGCGAATCGTTTTCATACTGGCTCACGCGTGAGTGCCGTCTAATCAGTTTCCAACAATAACGAAACATGAGGACAGTCTGTTTTCAACATGTGGCTCTCAACTCAACGCCGAGCACATCATTCTTAAAAACTGACAATCGTGGAATGTATAGCAGGCGGTTCCTTTTCAAACATCGGCTCTCGCTCAAGACTCTCGCGAACTCTACGACCCGAGATGTACACTGTGGAACCGCTTCGAGGACGGAGGGCGGCTCCTTGCCAACTTTGGGCTCTCGCTTTAAGACCTCCTCGACCTGCACAGCCCGACGTGTGACATTATGCAGCAAGAACGCCGATGGAGAGCGCTCCTTTTGCAAACCAGGTCTCTCGCTGGACACCTGCTCCTACTTTCCGGACCTGCCTCCTCGCATTCCGGGAAGTAATTCCTCTTCGAAGCGGAACCCTCGCCTGAACAGTAGGCTCGTGGGGCGCTCGTGTTTCATGGGGGAGCTTCCCGCAGTGAACAGGAATGCCGCATGAATGCCTGTAGGGTCTTACGGGGGGGGCTGCGCGGGACGGGGAGATGCATCACAGCATCGTTGATGCATCCTGGCTCAATCATGAAGTTCTGGTCCTCCCTCCTCCTCCCCACTTCCCCTTTCCTTCCTCCTCATACCATCCCCTCCCCCCTTCATTCTCCTCCTCCTCCTCCTCCTCCTCCTCCCCTTCCTCCTCAGGAGCGGGAGGGGGGAGGGAAGAGGGGAGGGAGGGAGCGAAGCGAAGCGAACACCGGAGACTTGCACGTTCCTCTGGGGAGCCCGCCCGTGCCGATATTGGTGATGGCGTGGAGGCCGTGGGGTCAAGAATGCGAAACGCAGGCGGACTCCCGTCGTCACCACCATTTAATGTTCCCGGGGGCCTCATAACCATCGCAAGTCGTTTGTTCTGCTGTGCTCGCGCTGTCGTGGTTCGGTCATTGCTCGAACCCAGGCGGCCCCAGCATCGAATCGATATAACGGATCGTATCGACCGGGGCATCGAATCCGCAGAAATCGGCAAAAGCCGGCAGCCAAATCGAAATCGGCTGAAGTCGGCAAGTCCGAGCCGGATCGAGTCGGAAACCGGACCGCGTCAAGCCGGATCGGAATCGAAATCGAACCCCCCCCCTGGGGGGGGCTTGGGTTTTGAGAACCCCCCTGGGGGGGGATGGCTTTTTGGACCCCCCCCCGGGGGGTTTGGGTTTTTAGACCCCCCCCCCTGAGGGGGAGGGGTTGGACCCCCCCCCCTGGGGGGTTTAGGTTTTTGGAACCCCCCCTGGGGGGGGGGGGACCCCCCCCTGGGGTGTGTGTGGGGGTTTTTGGACCCCCCCCCCTGGGGGGGAGTTTGGGTTTTGGACCCCCCCCCCCCTGGGGTGGGTTTGGGGTCCCGGGGCTTTTGGACCCCCCCCCTGGGGGGGGTTTGGGGTCCCGGGGCTTTTGGACCCCTCCCCCTGGGGGGGGTTGTGGTTTTTGGACTCCGCCCTGGGGGTTCCTCCTCCCTCCTCCTCCTCCTCCCCTTGGGGGCCAGAGCCAGAGCGAAGCCGGATCGGCAAAAGCCGGCAAGAATCGGCTGACGCATCGAATCGGCAGAAGCCGGATTGGGCGAACTCGAAATCGGAATCGCGAATCGGAATCCCGGAATCGAGTCGGTTCGAAATCGGAATCGCGGAAATCGATTCGAATCGAACCGGCGGAATCGGAATGACCCCTGCGAACCTACACCTGCTAGGCGCTGGCGTTGCAGCAGTGCTCGTCCAAGCTGTGGCTTCTGGTAAACGCAGTCCAATCTTGTTAGTTGCCCTCCATGTTGACGGCGCCCTTGCTGTCCAGTGTTGAGATTTGGGTTCCAATTGAACACTCTCTTCGTCCAGCCTGTCGGGTGGTGGTGAGCCGCAGCCACAACATCTGTCCATCGCCAAACCATCATGAGAGGTATGTGGAGTACATCAAAAATGGCATGCTTAAACATCAAGGTGTTTGCCCTCCGCGTGCTCCTGCGGATGAAACTGGACCGCAACTCGACGTCCTCGTTCTGCATAGTGCCCGGTTGCGTGCCCTCGTCCTTGTTGTCGTTGTCCTGCACGTCGGGCTGTTGGGTGTTTGGATTCGTCACTGGAGTCGCAAGAAGAAATGTTGCTGGTGTCGTGATTGTTGCTTTGGACCTGCCTCTGGATTGCGCTGCGGCGTCGGTGTCGCTGCCGTGCATCTCCTTGGCGTTCCGAATATCCGTTGCTGTGTTCGGCGTACACTGGAAATTGAGAACTCTGTCAGAGTCCACGTGTCTCCGCCGTACATCATCGTGGAAGTCGGTGTCGCAGTGGGTAAATGTTGCTGGTGAGATATTGCCAGTGGCCGCTGAAACATGCCCATGCTGCTCGAGTCTGGTGCTTTACTTTGGGTTCGGGGGCGTTGTGGAAAATTACGGTCTGGCCAAGGTATGAGGCTGCTTCGAGGCAATGCTGCGATGTCCATCCTTGCTAATCGGCCACCCTGTCGCGGTCCCGAAATCGGTTGGTCGTGATATCGGTTCTGGTCGGGTGCGACTCAGATCCGTGTGGCTTGGCTGAGGTGATGGGATCAGATACCGCATTGCTTTAGATTTGGCAACGTGAGTCGTGTCTGCAAGATGTCGTCGCCGAGCCGACGGTTCGTGAATAATGAAGCGTTCAGGTGACCTGGCTGGACACCGTTGCGTCAACTCTGCCAATCTGGGATCAACGGTGCTACAATCACGGCACTGACAGTTCGGATTCGGACGGGGCTTGTTGGTTCCTTGGGCCTGCTTGCGTTCCCTTGCAAGTTTGCCAAGGAGCCCCCTCGGCGTTCCTTAGGTCATGGCGCGCGCGGAATTGATTCGCCGGACGGGGCAGATGATTTGAGGAACGGGGCCCCGAATAGGGGCCAGGTTACTTGTGCCTCTGCGAAGATAATTTGCCGCGGGTTTTGTTTGGCCCATTCCTTGCATCGCAAAATTTGAGGTTCATGTATATGGCCATATGTTAAAATGGTCACGATACGGCTCCGTTCCTCGCGCCTTCGGTTCTTTGCGCGACGCGGCGTGCGGTTCACGCGCGTGCCCTAACCTACAAGTGGTAACGTTAAAACCCAGGTCCTCGCGCAAGTTCCATCGGTTCTTTGCGCGACGCGGCTTGACGCTTGCGCGTATAACCAAATAGAACAATTGCCACGTTGAGGTGCCCTTCCTCGCCAGAACCCCTCGGTTCCTTGCACGATGCAGTGTGTGGTTCACGCATGTGACCACATGTAAACATGACGCATTGAAGTTCTTCGCGCAAGCCCCATCGATTCCTTGCGCTATGCGGTTCGACGTTCCCGTTGATGCCCACATTGAACATTTGTCACGTTAAGGCCCAATTCCTCGCGAGGGCCCCTCGGTTCCTTGCGATCGATGCAGTTTCATAGCTGGCCAAACTGTCGGGGCTCTCGCCCTTTGCTTGGAGGCCAGGCCGCGGGTTGGGTATGGGCAGGTCATGTGTAAACCAGGGATTGGCACTGGGCAAGCCATGGATAAGCCCCGGGCAGGCCGCGGGTAGGGCATAGGTAGGTCATGGGCAGGCTCAAAGTACACCATGAGGATGCCGTGGGTAGACCATGGGTCGGCAATGGGAAGGCCGTGTGCAGGCAAGTTGTAGGCAATGAGCAGGCGATGCGCAGGCCATGGGCATGTCATGGGGAGGCCGTATGTAGGCCATGGCCAGTCCAATGACAGGCCATGGGAATGCCACGGGCAGACAGTGAACATGCAATTGGCAGGGCAGGCCAAGGGTAGCCTGCTTGATACGGCCTAGGCTCGCATTGGAGGGCCTTGAGCGTTTTAGGGGTAAATTCTTGGTCGCTGTTTGGTAAACCATGGGCAGGGCATGGGGTAGGCCATGGGTAGGCCATTGGCAAGCCGTGTGTGCGTCATGCGCATTCCCTGGGTGGGCTATGTGGAGGGCATGGGTGGTCAATGTTCATGGCGGCCGTAGGCCATGGGTAGGCCGTGGTCGGCCATGAGTGAGGGGCAGGTGCGCCATGTGGAGGCTTATGGCAACCCTTGCGTGGTCCTTGGTTGGCCCTGGTGAAGGCCATGGGTCGGCCATTGGTACGCAGGGCATGGGCGGACCATCGCTAGGCCATGGGTAGACCGTGGGCAGTACAGTGAACAACGTGCTGGATGTGTGCAGGCACTGGGTAGGCCAAAGGCATGCCGTATGTAGGCCAATCTGCTTCCAGTGTTTTGTTGTGCTACCCGCTTCCCTGCATGGCTCGGGTGAGGAACGGTTGCCCGGGCTAGGGCTCGTGCCAATACTGAGGTTTGGGCTTTCGCAAGAGGATGTGGATATGGGTATGGTGAAGCGGGAGCGAGGAGATTCGGGATCGCCTTAGGTTCGGCGTTGTCGGCGTGCCAGAGCCAAGAGTATCACGTTCGCCAGAAGTCCGTGCCCAAACCAAAGTAGCACGTTCGGCAAACATGCAGCCATCTGCAACACATTTCTTGCGCACAACATGGTCCCACTACAAACATTGCGCAACGCGAATTGCAACGCGTAGATTGCACGACGTACGCTGCACAACACAAGATGCGCAACATATATTCCGCAACATGTATGGCTGGAAACACATGCTTCGGGCCAAACTTAACTGACCTTTTGGTATTGTTACGCCAGTATTGCATATGGCTTCCACGCCACATGTGAGCGTGCGGCAACATGTACATGCCACAAAGGAAAGCCGTCATATTGGTTTGAAAGCCGAAGAGCATTAGCGGTGCCCGATTGGATTTTCAAGCTACCGTGCGTTTTCTTATGGGTGCGGTGACAGACGCACGCTGCCATGGTGGCTTCGACACAGCATGCGCGTTTTGCCACCCGGCCTGCGCGCCAGCGTGTGCACCAGCGCCTGCGAGCGCGCGTGTGGCAACATGCCTATGACACAATAATCGGGAATACCGCTATGTTGGCTTGTTAATCCACTGACGCTTCGGCGCGTGTGAGACGCCGTCATCGTCTTCGTCGTTGTCGTCGCCAGACCCAAGAAGAGTAAACAACGAACCGAGACGACGAACGTCATAATTAAATCGATTCCCTGACCTTTTCCTTTCCCCCCCGACGGGGGGGGTGGCAGGGGGGGTGAAGGGGGGGGGGTCCCGGGTCAGACGGGTCAGATTACCGCGCCCCCGGGGTCCCAGACCAAAAGGATGGCCCGGCCTGTGGACAGGGGGACAAGGAGTGTCGTCACTCAGACGGGCGATGGTGACGGGAGGAGATACACTTTTGGCAAGGCAGGAGAGGAGGGACGGGGCACTCGACATCCTGGGCGTCGGTGCGCATTTAAGCCAGAGGCTGCGGGGGAACAGGGGGCAAGAAGGGAAGGACGGAAAGGACGCGGAGAGGAAACGGTGAACAGGAGGGATCCTGGCCCCGCCATGGCCGCGGCCGCGGCTCGGCTCTGGTTTCGCCCCCGGGGCCCTGGTGGATGTCCCGCCTTCAGGGTCGGCGGCGCCGGCCGTAAGACCGTCGCAATAAAAAGGAACCCATCAGCGGTGCCTGACTGGATTTTCAAGCTAACATGCGTTTTTGTGGGCGTGTTAAATGACACGCGCGGCCATGTAGGCTTTGACAAGACTTGGGCGTTTGGCCACATGAGCTGCGCGCCACCGTCTGCGGGCGCGCGTGTGGCAGTATGTATATGTCACGATGGAAAGGCCGCAATGTTGGTTTTGAAACTAGAATAAGCTTTTAGCAGTGCCCGATTGGATATTCAAATTGACATGCGTGTCCGCTGGTGTGGCCAAAGACTCACGCGGCCATGTTGGTGTCGGCATTGCATGGGCGTTTGGTCACTGGGCCTGCGCGCCAGCGTGCGCGCCAGAGCCTGCGCGCCAGCGCCTGCGCGCCAGCGTCTGCGCGCCAGCGTCTGCGCGCCAGCGTCTGCGCGCCAGCGCTGCACGCCAACGTCTGCGCGCCAGCGTCTGCGCGCCAGCGTCTGCGTGCTGGCGTCTACGCGCGAGTGTGACAGAATGCATATAGCACAATTGACAAGCGAAGCCTCCGCGTTGGCCTGGAAACTGAAGCGAAGCCTAAGCGGTGCACGATTGGATTGTCAAGTGAACATTTGCTTTATGGGTGTGGTGATTTACGCGCGCCGCCATGATGGCGACGCCGCATCAGCGTTCGGCTGCCGGCCTGAGCGCCAGCGTGCGCGCTAGCGTCTGCTAGCGCGCGTGTCGCAGCATATCGGTGCCACAAAAGACTAGCTGCCGCGTGGGCTTGGGAATTAACATCAACTCCGAACGGCGCCTCATTGGATTTGCAATGTATTGTGTGTTTCTGTGAAGGTGGTGAAACACGCGCGCCACCATGTTAGCTGTGACACGACACGGGCGTTTGGCCTCCCGGCCTGCGCGCCAGCTTGCGCGCCAGCGTGTGCGGGCGGGCGCGCGAGGCAACATGTATATGTCACGCTAGAAAAGCCGCCGGGAGGGCATGGATACTAAAATCAGCCCTTAGCGGTGCCCGATTAGATTTGTAAGGAAGTGTGCGTTCCTGTGGGTGTGGTGCAAGACGCGCGCCGCCATGTTGGCCCCGGCGCTCCATGGGCGTTTGGCAACGCAGCCTGCGCGCTAGCGTGCGTGCCAGCGTCTGCGCGCCAGCGTCTGCGTCAGCGCGTGCGGTAGCACGCAGATGTCACAAAAGACAAGTCGCAATGTTGGCCTGGAAACTGAAATGAACCCCAAGCGGTGCCCCATGAGATTTTCAAGTTAAAGAAAAACAGTGGTGGAGCAAAACTGATGACCTCCTACGGTTAAGTAAGAAGGAATCCGATCCTCGTGCCAGGCGCGGTTGGAGGGTCCACGAGTGAAACGGGTCAGGCACATCGGTGCTTTCACTGGGACAGTTCTTTCAACCTGGGTGAATTTTTTGGGGGGCCGGGGCCTGGGTACTCCTGGGGGCCCGACAACGCCAGAAAACATCCAGGCCCCCATTCTTTCATGGCAAGAGGAGGAATATGAGGAGCACGAGCAGGAAGAGGGGCGAGCCGAAACAGACGAGGATGACCTTCGGGCCAGATCTTGCGCCCGAGGCGGCCGTTCGGGACGGTTCTGGCATCCCTGGAAGGTTGTCGACGAGGCACAGCTAGCAAAAAACACTCCAGAGCCCGAAAACCTCCCAGAACCCGCGAACGTCTCCGAGAACCTTTCCCTTCTCGTGCGGGGCGCGGCAGGGGGCCCCGACATCCGATGCGCGAATGGTTTCCCCTACAGAATCCCCGAAGTCCGGACCCCCTTCTCCCAGGGCCCGTGTCTCGTCCCGAACTGCTTCTTTTGAAGGTCCCAGGGCCCCGTGAGGGCGCCCAGAGGCCGAACGACAACAAACAACGGTGCTGCCTTTTGAACGCGTTGGAAGCCTCGTGCGACCGCAAAGCGGGTGGACCCACCGCAGCAGCCGGTCGGCGCGCCGCGCGGCGGCAGCGTCGCCGCTGGTGCCGCGCGCGGCGAGCAGCTCGGAGAGGACGGTGTCCTCGGAGGCGACTGGCAGCGAGTCCAGCGACAGGAGGTCCTGCCAAGAGGTGGGGGCGGGCGAAGGGGTCCCGAGGTGTAAAGAGAACACGTTTTGCGGACGTTTCCTTGAAAAAAAGCATTGACACTTTGGAGCCGCTCCCCCCTCACCCAAAACATTGAGCGCCCCTGGAGAACCGGGCCCCCACTCCCTGGACACCGGTCTCCCTAACCGCCCCCCCTCCTCCAGTCGAACCGTTCCCCCTCCCCTGTCCAAGGGGGGGGATTCGGAACCAGCCCCCCCTCCCCCTCAATTGAAGGGGTGGGGTTTCGAACTGGCCCAAGGGGGTTCGAACCGGCCCATCCCCCAACGACTTGGGGGTTTCAAACCGGGGAGGGCCCCCTCCCCCTGTGCAAAGGGGGAGGCATCGAACAGGGGGACTCCGACCCCTCCGCCTAACAAAATCCGGCGCTTGAATCTAATTTTGGTGAGGCTCGATGCATCCCTGATGGACTCTGACGATGGCTGGATCCCACTTCATTAGCACCCTAGTCGGGCTCGATCCAACTCACATGGAATCCCCCCTCTGTCGGGCAGGTCGGTTTGCGCGGGCGGACCGTTACATGCATGGTGCTCGTTCGCTCGCTTGTTCGCCCGCTCGAGCAAGCGCGCGAACGATCGAGCAAGTCGGGCGGTTCGTTTGAGGCGGGCGGGCCATTAACTGCATGGTGCTCATTTGATCGCTTGCTCGCTAGCTGGAACAATCATGCGAGCGAGCGAACGAGGGAAGGGCTGGGGGAGTCGGTCCTCTCGCTCGCTCGCGCGCTCGAGCAAGCGAGCGAACGAGTCGGGTGGGCGAGACACGGAAGGCATGGGGCTTGCTTGCTCGCTCGCTCGCCTGTTGGAACAAGCGTGCGAGCGAACGAGTCGGGCGGCTTGGGTCGGTCGCGCGGGACATTACGTGAACGTGCTCGCTTGCTCGCTAGCTGGAGCAAGCACGCGAGCGAGCGATGGAAAGGGGGAATCGGTCCTCTCGCTCGCTCGCTTGAGCAGGCGAACGAGCGAATCGAGCGGGTCGGGTCGGGCAGGCGGGACATTAATGCATGGGGCGCTTGCTCGCTCGCTGGCTTAAAAGCAGGCGAGCGAGCGAGTCGGGTGTGTCGAGCCGTGAGGGCAGGACATTCAATGCATGGTGCTCGCTTGCTCGCTCGCCGGCTCGAACGCGCGTGCGGGCGAGCGAGTCGGGTGGTTCGGTTTGGGCGGACAGGTCATAAAATCCATTGTGCTCGCTTGCCCGTTCGCTCGCTCGCTCGCTGGGGCAAGCACACGAGCGAGCAAGCGAGGAAGCGAGGGAAGGGGGAATCGGTCCTCTCGCTCGCTCGAACAAGCGAGCGAACGAGCGAGTCGGGCGGGTCGGGTCGGGCGGGTGGGACATTAAATGCATGGTGCTCGTTTGCTCGCTCGCTGGCTCGCTCGATCGAGCAAGCGAGCGAGTTGGGCGGGTCGGATCGGGCGGGCGGGACATTCAAGACACGGTGCTCGCTTGCTCGCTCAATCGTTCGCCCGCTCGAGAAAGCGAGCCAGCGAGCGAGTAAGCAGCCGTCGTCATCGTTGTCGTCGTCGTCGCGGTAGCCGTCGTAGTCGTCGTCGTAGCCGTCGTCGTCGTCGTCGTCTTCGTCGTCGTCGCTGCCCGACGGCGCCGGCGCTGGCGCTCGCCGTCGTCGGTTGCAGGCGTGTAGGGCCCCCCAACTCGACCCCCCGCTCCTTTGCAATTCAAAAGGAGGGGGCCCTCCGTTCGAACCCCCCCTTGAGAGAAGGAGGGGGGGCCCCTTCCGCTTCGGACCGTGCAATTCAGCCCCCCCCCACCTCCCCCGTTCGAGCCAATCCCCTTGAAAGAGGGCGGGGGACCCTTCCTCTTCGGACGCCCCCCCGTGCAAGTGAAGCCCCCCCCCTCCTCAATGCGACCCGCCCCCCCTTGAGAGAGTGCCCCCCTCCGGCTCGAACACCCCTCCCTCCAATTCAGGCCTCCCCCCTCGGTTTGAACCATCCCCACTTGAGGGGGAGCACGGGGGCCGCTTCGACCCCCCACCTTGCAATTCAGGCGGGCCCCCCCCTGGTTCGAACCGTCCCCCCCTTCCCAACGTCCACTGAACGCAGTCTTTCCAAGGCGTGGAGGTTGAGGTTTTTAGACTCGTTTCGCATATCCGGGTCCTCTCTCTCGGTCCCTGCCCCGAATTCGTACGTCCCCTCCTTCCCCCCCTGTCGACGAGATGTGTTTTCTTTCCCCAACCCCCTAACCCCTAGTCTGTGAAGGCTCTCTCTCTCTCTCTCCTTCACTCTCTCTCTCTCTCTCTCTCCTTCTCTCCGGACCGAGCGTCGGTCCCGACAGTCGTCAGGCCACGAGCGACCAGCGGTTGAAACAGCGGAATGCCAGGAGCACTGCGTCGGCGGGCGCAAATTAACGCGCCCGCTTCCGAGCGGTGATGAAGGCTGGCCACGCCTTCCTCACCATGTGCATAGCAAAGAAGGAACCACTCCCTGTCTGGATCGAATCTGGGTCGCGGGAACTCTTTGAAGTCGCCCGCCGGCGCCAAAGGTTAAACTCAATCTTCGGAGGCTCCAGAGGGCGAGCGGCGCCTGGCCAAACATTTGCACATACCAGCGGTTCCTTTTCCATGAATGAGCGAAGAACGATCGGCGCCCCCGAAACCGCGATCCCGAGTAAAAGCCACAGGTTCCGCACACAAGACTTCCAGGCGCCCCGCAGCGTTCCCAGACGCACCAGGAGCGCACAAACGCCCCCAAGCGGCCCTATAGGCGCTCAGCATGCGGCGCAAGGCGCTCCCAGGCGCTCCCAAATGTTCCAGGAACGCCCCAACGCTCCCAGGCAGTGCCAAGCGCTCTCCAGGCGCTTCCAGGCGCCTGAGATGTTCCCAGGCCCTTCCAGAAGCTCCAAGAGCGCCCAAGCGCTCGTTTTCGCACCCAGGCGCTCCTCAGGCGGCCCAAAGCGCCTCCACACGCTAGGACATGTTCTTAGCAAGCGCTCTCGGACGGTCACCAGCGTTCCCAGACGCTCCAGTAGCGTCCAGGCGCTCCAGGAACGCCCCAACCGCTGCCCAAACGTCCCAAACGCTCCCAGGCGTTCTCAGACACTCCAGGAAACAGCTGGCGGCCCCAGGAAACCCCAGGATGCCCAAGGAAACCTAGAGGGCCCTAGGCGGCCCCAGAGGAAGCTCCCAAACATTGAACCACAGAAAACTCACAGGGAATCCCAGTCGGCGCGGCCTGACGGCCCCCAGAATGCAATTCAATATCTTTTCTAGCACGCTCGCTCGCCCTCCCCCCGCGCAGTGGTCGCGTAGAGATGCGCGTGCGTCTGCGGCGCGCTCGCGGCGCGTCCGCAGAGACATCCGCGTGCGCGTGTCCAGTCGCGCAGCGAGGCGCCATCACTTTCGCGGATCGAGACCGCGGCGCCGAAAACTCATTCCGCCGATGCGACGCGCGAGCGTTCCCCCGCGCGTTCGAAAGTTGCCAACTCGGGCGAGGAAGCTGCATGGCGCCGCGCTCCAGCCCCCGCGCGTGAACTTGCGTTCCAAAACCATCGCTGGCGCGGCGCGCGAGTCCTCTCCAGCGCGCGCGAGCACTACTCAGTCGCGCGAGGAAGCTGCTTTGCGCCGCGCGCCGACCCCACGCGAAAAGGATGTGCTGAAACCGCTGGCGACGCGACGCGCGAGTCCTCGCCCGTGCGTTCGGGCGCTGCTCAGTTGCGCGAGGAGTCTGCGTGGCGCTGCGCTCCGATTCCAGCGCGAGAATTTGCGTTCCGAGAATTTCGCTGACGCTACGCGCGAGTCCTTCCCAGCGCGCGCGAGCGCTACACAATCGCGCGAGGAGGCTGCTTGGCGCCGAGCGCTGGCCCCCATGCGAAAATCGCGCGCCGAGGCCGCCGTCGATGCGACGCGCGAGTCAGGGCCCGAGGAATTCAGACGCGGCCCGAGGGTTCCCGAGGAAACCTTTCCAATTCTTTACGCAACCCCCCCACCCACCCCTCGCGCGGTGGTCGCGTTGCGATATGCCTGCATGTGCCGCGTCGTTCGACGTTCGTCACTAGTCGTCCGGAATTATTCGTCGATGGCCGTTCGTCGACAGTCGTCGTCCTGGTCACCGTTCGTTGTTCGTCGTTCGTCGTCGTCGTCGTCGTCGTCGTCGTCGTCGTCGTCGTCGTTCGTCGTCCGCTTGTAATCGTTTGTCGTTGGTCGTTCGCCGCCGTCGCCGTTCACCTATAATCGCGCAGCGATACATCCGCGTGGAAAGAGGGGGCGGCGTGGGAGTGGAGGCGAGGAGGGGACTCACTCTCGGGCGCAGCCGAGGCCGGGTGGAGAGGGTGGGACACGAGCGTCGCGAGCGCGCACTAACGAATCCCACCCCCAAAAATCCAACAATCCAGTTGGGGGAGTGAGATGCGTGCGCGCGTTCCTTTCAACACACACTCTCTCTCTACCTTTCTCACACACACACACACATCTATGCCAATATTATATACGCGTTGTAAGAAGAGGTGGGAAGAACGGGGGGGTCTGTCCCCTGCACCGGAATCGCTGACTTGGTGGTCCCCCGCATGGTTTCCCGAAGATCCGCCGCTGGCCCCGAAATCGGTGACTTGCTGGTCTACTCCTGTATCAACAGTCCAATGTAGCGCTCTATTTGGCCTTTTCATTGTGCTGCTTCGGGCCTCCTGCCGCCAGGGTGTGCTTCTTTCTGCTTCCCCCGTACGCCCCTCCTGTCCCCCCCCGCTCCCCCTTTGGACGCCCGAAATGGATACGGAAAACATGGGTACGAGGTGCGATGCCCAACAACAAATGTTGATCAAAACCTACAGCGGCCGCTGTTGGGCAGGCGGCCTTCTGTCTCGAATGAACAGCGGCCGCGGCGGCATCGACAGTGAACCCTGTCCAAAATGCGTAGGACACGCTGTCAGTCTCCGTGCCTGTTCTTTCCGTACCCATTTCGATCGTGCAGAACTTTCCCTTCGCGTCGCCCGTCCTCCGCCCCCAGGCCAGCCCCTGCCCCCTTCGCTGCCTGCCGATCCAGGCCGCGGGGGGCACATGCCAGAGCGAGGCGCCCGCAGCCAGCAGCAGCTTCGCGCCGGCGGGCGTAGACGGCAAGAGGGCGGGCCCCCGACCGCGTCAGGTTGGATTGAGCGAGCCAGTGCGTCACGTCGGGGTGGCGGGGTGGCGTAATCTTGCTCGGCTAGGGCCAGAGGTAGGATTGGTCGACACTTCGCTCCAAACAGCTCCTGGGAGACGGGCATGTGAGCAACTGGCTGGTTTCGTTCCCTCACCCCAAGCTTGGGGTAACTCCCCCCCCTACGAACCCTCAAGAGCTCCAATCGGAACAGGCGTGTCTGACGGAAAGATTGGGCCTGGCGACTTCGGCACACCCCTCGCACGTTTCGTGGCCCCATAGGGAGCTCCACCGAAGGCCCCAGTGGCTGCGTTCGCATGCAGTTCCACACTGCTGCTGGAAGCAAGCTTTCCGTCCCGTTGAGATCAGCACACACCCAATTCGGCCCACTCGCGTGAGCAGCCATCGAACACGTTAGGGCTCAACTCTCGAACCCCGAAACCAGCCTCGCTGATTACGCGTCGATCGGGGGAGGAAGACGACTGAAGGAATAGCTGTGGGCGTGGAAAAGACCAGTATAGGCAGGGCGCTGTACGAGTCGAAGGGGCAGGGCAGATGTTCACTGCCCACGGCGCAGGGTCCAGACGCTCGCACCGTAGCCCGTCACCTCCTTCTCGCCCCGATCGGAAGAGGACTGCACACAGGAGAGATGGTAGAGGCAAGGATCGGGAGAGGAGTACAAGTAGAAGAGGAGGGGATCACGACAAGGGTGCGGGGAGACAGAAGAGACAGAGAGAGAGAGAGAGAGAAAGACCGATATAGACACAGAGAGAGAGAGGGCGAGGGAAAAAGAAATAGAGATAGGGAGAGAAGGGAGAGAGAAAGAGAGAGAGAGAGAGAGAGAGACAGAGAGAGAGAAGCGGAGAGCGAGCCAGCACGGGCCAGAGAGGGGCGGGGCAGGAGCGGCGTGCACGAGCGCGCTGGGCCCGTCTGAAAAAGAAGCGCCGAGACGAGCCCACCCCGGCAGGCCACCGCTCGTTCGAAGCCGAGTTGGGCGGAGGCCGAGGAAGGCACGGGGGGCGGGAGTGGCGCCGGGCGCGAGGCGGCTCGCGTCCTCCACGTGGCCCGTCGCCATGAAGGGACACCTGTTGGCCAGCAGCGTGCTCGCGTGCAGGAACGTGTGGGCGTTCAGGAAGCTCAGGAGCGAGTTCAGGGCCAATTGACCTCTCGCAGTCCCTCTCTCGCCGTAGGTCTCTCTGAAGATCCTCAGGAGCCTCTAGGGATCTCCAGAGGTCCGTGGTGGCCTCTGGAGGCCAACACAGACACAAACCAATTCCGTCGCGACGCGGCCGAGACAATCCGCTCGCGCGTCGAGGCGAGACCAGGACGCGGCGTCGCGAATTAGCCCGCGTGCAAGAGAAGAGGAAGGAGGAGAGGAGGCGGCCGCAGGGAGGGGACTGGAGCGCGGGGGCACTCTCACGCGGCGAGACCGCGGGGGGGTCGCGGGGGCGGCTGGGCTGAAGGGCAGGGCAGCCCCTGGCAGCAGTCCCGGGGCGGCATCACGGCGCACCCAGGGGCAGAACCAGCAGCCGCAGAAGGGGCGTGGCCCAGCAAGTGATGCAGCAAGTGGTGGAGCGGGGGGCGGCAGGCGGCCGGAGAACGGGGGCGCCAGGCAGGGGGAGGCGGCGGCGTGGGCGCCAGGCGGCGGGCCAAGCTGCGCTGCGGCCGGCGCTGCGGCAGCTGCGAGGGCGGTCCCAAAGCTGGCGCGCGGCAGGCACAGCCTGGGACTTGCGAAGCCCGCGCAAGTGACGCACCGGTGGGGTTCCCACGAGGGGATAGCGGGGAGGTGACACAAACACAAACAAAGGCCAAGTGAATCGATCCTCCTCCTTCTTCTCCTCCTCCTCCTCCATGCTTATGGCCAAAATCTATTCAAAATCGGTTCTGGGTTCCGCATCCCCCCGTGTCGGGGTCAATCCTAGCCAGGTTTTCGCCGCGAACAGCTTTTTGACGGTCCAAGTGCCCGGTGCCCGAAACGGACCCCTAATGGCAGAAAATCCTGCCAGCCCTCTGGGCGTGGGTGGTTCAGAGAGTTTCCTCTTCCATCTTCACTCTTCCCCGTCGGGGAGGGTTTACGCCTCCCCCTCCCCCCTCCCCCTGGGTCTGGACGGGAGGTTTCGCGACGGGTTGGAGCGTCCAAGATGGCCTCGGCGAGGAGCCAAACTTGTTGCGGTTTTGGCAACATTTTGGCCTCCTGGGGGGTGGCGCAATTCAGTGCGGCTCCTCCTTTGATCAAGCCCTTCCAAGATGGCCCCACCCAAGATGGCCCCCGAGGCTCCCAAGGGTGCTCCAAGACAACCCCAAGAGGTGCCCACGAGGCCCCAAGGGCTCCCCAGAGGCACCCACGACGCCCCAAGAGGCCCCTGGGACTGCCAAGAAACCCCCAAGACGCCCCAAGAGGACTCCAAGAAATCCTCGCAAGACATCCAAAACAGACTCCGCGAGGCATCCAAGAGGCCTCTGGCCTTTCTGCTCGCACTCCTCCTCATCCTCCTACTCCACTTCCAGATCCGCCTGTTCCTCCTCCTTCATCCTCCCTCGTCCCCCTCCCCCTCTCCCTCCTCCTCCTGCTCCTCCTGCTCCTCCCCCGATTCCTCCTCCATCATCTCCCTCTTGGGCTATGACGTCTTACTCAACCTTGTATTCCACTGCATGCTCCTCCGCATCCCTGACCGACCAGGGCAACCCGTCTGGGCATCGTTTCTGGATGGGCAGGTGGGATAACGCGAAGCTTCCAGATGTGCCTTCCTTCTTCTCTTTCCTGGCCCTCTCCTCCCCTGCTTCTTGCTTGCCGTTCTCCCACTATCCCTTACCACCCGCCCGCCTCTTCCCGACAGCTCGGGCCTCCCGCCTGCGTCGTCGTCGTCGTCGTCTGCGCTTCCTCTCTTCCTCTCCTTCGCCGATCAGCACAGACTGCTGCAAACATTGGACAATCTGAAGCACATGGCGAAACCGCTTCGAGCCCAACCACCGCCACTTTCCTTTCTTGCGCACGGGGTCCGCAGACCACGCTCGTCGCCTTCTGGCTTGTGAGAGGCTCTGCGGTAAAGGACCCTGCCATGATTGAAACTTGAACGTCAAATTTCGGAGAGGACGCACGGGAAGCGTAGCCGAGATCGAACAAGGACTGGAAAGGGGGCGAACATACCAGCAATGCGGACCGACACCCCCTTCCTCCATGAGATCCGACGTCACGAAACAAAACACATCGTCCAACATCACAACTGAGGCCCTAAACCCCATCTTCCTGCGCAATGTTTCGAGACCGATCGATCCGTGAGGGCCCCGGGGCCCGAAACGAGGCAAAATCGCTCGTTGCGGAAAAAACATGCGACGCCAAGACTTCAGGACTCCCCTGCCTCCTCCCCCCTGCCCCGACCCCCTCCCCCTCCCCCCCCCTCTCCAGACTTGCGATGTCCTGTTGTTTTTTGCACGGGGTCCCCGAAGTCCCGACCCTTTCCCCACTGCCGGTCGTTTTTCCATCCCGAATCGTGTTTAGAAGGTTCTCGGGCTGGTGAAGCCCACCAAAGGCCGAAAACTGCCAAAACCTCCCGTCGTGACCTTTTTCACGACGGACCATAACTCGGCTCTCCGGCGGTCGTTCGGGACGATCCGTGCATCTCCAGGACGCCGTCGGCGAGGCGCAGCTGCTGGAGAGCATCCCGGGGCTAGAAAGCCCGCCGAGGGCCAGCAAAACCCCCGAAAACGCCGAGCCCCGAGCCTCGATCCTTGGGTGTGGCCACGGCGCCTCCCCTCCGAAAGGGGGGCTGGGCGGGAGGCCCCCAGCGGAGGGCAGGCCTCTGACGTGCAGCTTGCCGCTCCCGGCGGGGAAGGCCCGGGCGTGCGGCAGCAGCCCGTGGCGGCCCACCTCGGGTGCGTTCCCCGGGCCTCCGTCCTCGCCCCCTCCCCCCCGGCTCCCCCCCAGCCTCGCCTCCGCCGCCCGGCTCCCCTGGCCCGCCGTCCGCTCTCCTCGGGGCAGGCCGCGGAGCGCCACGGAGGCCCTGGATCTCGGCCCCGTTCCGGGGCTCCCTCTTCGACTGCGGCCCGTCCGGAGCCTTTCATGATACAGTCATGTTCATCATCCTCGGCTTTTCGAAGCGGCAGCGAGCCGCATCTTACCAGTACCGATGCTGTATACCTCTCCATCTGTGTTTTGGTATTAAACAGCAGAAATAGTTTTTGTTTTTTTTGTTTTTTTTTGAACTCCATTCTGGGGCCACATTCTGAATGCACGGAGCCAACTGCAGGCCACCTCGTGTTCTTCGGATTCCCACAACTCCATTCCTGGGCATGATTTTGAATGCCCGGAGCCAACTGTCGGCCACTTCGTGGTCTTCGAGTTCCAAGAACTCCATTCCTGGGCATGATTTGAATGCCTGGAGCCAACTGTAGGCCACTTCGTGGTCTTCGAGTTCCCAAAACTCCACTCCTGGGCATGATTTTGAATGCCCGGAGCCAACTGTAGGCCACTTCGTGTTCTTCGAGTTCCCAAAACTCCATTCCCGGGCCACATTTTGAATGCTGAGGCAGGCTGAGGCTGAGGCTGAGGCAGGCTGAGGCTGAGGCAGGCTGAGGCTGAGGCCGAGGCTGAAGGCAGACTGAGGCTGAGGCTGAAGCAGCTGAGGCTGAGGCTGAGGCAGGCTGAGGCTGAGGCTGAGGCAGGCTGAGGCTGAGGCAGGCTGAGGCTGAGGCTGAGGCTGATGCAGGCTGAGGCTGAGGCAGGCTGAGGCTGAGGCCGAGGCTGAAGGCAGACTGAGGCTGAGGCTGAAGCAGGCTGAGGCTGAGGCTGAGGCAGGCTGAGGCTGAGGCTGAGGCAGGCTGATGCTGAGGCAGGCTGAGGCTGAGGCTGTGACTGCGACTGCCGTTGCCACTGCGACTGTCATCGCGAATGCGACTGCGACTGCGAGAACAGCAGAATTCTACAACTGGATTCTCATCTGCATCTTACGGGGAATGCTTCCAAATATGCTCCTACACATCGCTGTTAGGTTGCTTTGCCGGGATACTTGTTTATATTATATCCTGTTCGTTCCCTGCTCTTCTTGCCCTTCACGCCTCCACTGCTTGCAACATCCTGCAATAAAGATGTTAGTCGAGCCAGGTTTGGAAGCCGCTTGCGGCCCTGGAAATGGTCTTGCATCTTGGCTGAGCTGGGCGTCCCATTTCCTCAGAGACAGACTCCCCCTTGCCGCGCCACCAGGCGCGTCCGTAGGCAGGCCCGGGCGTTTCGCTCGACACTTCCTTCGAAATTATCCCGAATCGAAGAAAACCTCCAGCAACTAGAAAGATAGAAGGTCGGTCGTCTCCGACATGTGGCTCTCGCCTCAGCGTCACGCGCGCTCGTCTTAAGCATGTCCAACAGCTACAATGTTGGATGATGATAGATGGCTGGTCGGTTCCAAATCTGGCCCATGCCCCCAAGAGGTCCCCAGAGGGCTGCAAAAAGCCCCGGGGAGACTTAGAAACGCTTCAAGGGGCCGCCCGGTAGGCCTCCAAGACGCGCCCAAGACACTCCGCAACAGACACGGACGACGAAGTTGCCGAATCGCCAGCAACGATACGCAGGCAGCACGACGGGACGTGTCAGACAACACACATACACGAAACAGTAAGCCACACACGTCCTCTTCTGGGAGTCGGCGTAACGGCGTAAGCCTCTTGAACCAAAGGGTTCAAGCCGCGTCGTTTCTAAAATGGGGCTCTCGACTTGGCGCCGCGCGCACTTGTTTTAAACACTTCCAGCAGTTGCGCGCATGGAGGGTGGTCCTCTTTCAAAATGGGAATCTCGCCTGAAACTTTCTCTCGCTCCCATGAATCAAACGAGAGACAAGAACTTGGAAACATTGTAATGCTCCAACGGATGGAGGGTACATCCTTTCTAAGACGGAGCTCTTGGTGGAAACTTCCTTGAACTGTCGTATTACCTTACCTCCTTGCACTTCTGATAGTTCTAAGTACTTAAGATGGACCTTTACCAAAACTAATCATGCCCAAATGGCCAGGGCGTTCTTCTGTCTTGGGAGGTTTCCCCAATGCCCCAAGAGGCTTCAAAAAGGTACCCGAGACGCCCCCGAGAGGCCCTCTCAAAGCCTATCAGATGCCCCCAAGAGGAGCCCTCCAAGAGGCCCCTAAGAGGCATTCCAGGAGACCCTCATATGATCGTATGCGTCCCCGAGGCTCCACACACAGGCCAGGCACTGTGGCACGACTCTTGACGAACTCTCTCTTATGGGGGTCGGTGACATAGCGTAAGCCTCTAAAGTAACGATTGAAGGTGGTCACTTTACGACACGGAGTCTCACATGAATGGCAGGGGCCTTCTGTCGGTGGGCGCTTTTTTCCGCAGTGGTAAGGAATACTCATATGCATCTTTGTGGACGGAGCTTTGGACGTAAGGGTGTTTTCTTGCATTGTATTGCTGCGTCGTTGATGCATCTTGGGGCTTTTGGATACTGTTGCTGTTCTTTCTCACCGTTTTCATCCTCTTCCTCCCTCTGAGGTCTCTCTTCCCACTCCTCCCTCTCGCTCCTCCATTCTCCCCCTTCCCTCTTCCTCAATCATCCCTCCTCCTACCTCCTCGTCCTTCTATTCCTCCTTCCTATGCTTCCTGGGATCTTTGGAAGTCTCGGGAAGCCTCCCAGGCCCAAGAGGAGCCAAAAGACATGTGCGACTCTCCTCTTCAAGCCTCGTCCCCTGCCCCTCGTCCCCTTTCCTCGCCCCTTGGGAGGGTTTGGATCCGTGCCGGCCGACCCCCCAGGCCAGGCTGCTGTCGTGGTGGCCGAACAGCGCGTTGCACGTCCACGTGCAGGCGCCTCCCGACCCTGCCCGCGGCGCCACCCATGGTTGAAGCGCGCGAGGCGTCGTCGTCGTCGTCGTCGTCGTCGTCGTCGTCGTCGTCCCTCCTCCTCCGACTCCTTCTCCTCCCTTTCCGTCTCTTCATCCTCCATCCCTCCTCCACGCGTTCCTTGTCGTCGTCGCCTCCTTTTTCCCCTTCTGATGCTCCTCTTCCTCCTCCTCCTCCTCCTCCTCCTCCTCCTCCTCCTCCTCCTCCTCCTCGATGTGTTCCACCATTTCCTCCTCCCTCCCTCCATCCCCTCCGCTTCCTCCTCCGTCTTCTCGTCCATCCCTCCGTCAGTCCTGTTGCTCCTCGCTCGAAACTTGCAACCATTTCAACGATGGAGGGTGGGCCGTTCTCAAAATATGGCTTTCGCCCTACCGCTGCGCGCATTCGGCTTGCAGTTCGCAAGCATTTCCAGGATGGAAGGCGGATTGCTTTCAACATGCGTCTCTCGCTTTAGCGCCGCGCGCATTCGTTTTAACGTTTGCAACACCCAAACATGTTTAAGGCGGATCCTTTTCAAAATGTGGCTCTCGCCTTAGCGCCGCGCAAGGTCGTGTGATAGTTTGCAATAGTTTCGAAGGTGGATGGAGGGCGGCTTTCAAAACGTGGTTTTCGCTCTAGCGCCGCACACATTCGTCTCACAAAAGTCACGCCGCCCGATTATGCAGAACAGCCCAAATGCCCAGGCTACCCACTTCTTGTCTGGTTATTTCCAAGCTGTGTTTCTGTGCGAGAAGCGGAATCGTCCCCCAGCCGATCGTTGACCGAACGCGGAAGCGATGGTACGTTCCATGGCCTCTTTCCTTTCCCAGCTGCCCCCCAATCGACCCCGCCTTCCCGCCACCCTGCTACGGGGGCTACAAGCCACGCCGGCGCCTGGCAGAGCGTGACGGACGCACCTGGATTCAGGAATCGCAAACTGACCCGTCGCAGAAATGGCCAACAACTCGGCCGTTCGGGGAGTTTGACGGTTCGGGGCCCAAGCAGGAGCGCTTGAAAGGCAAACAGCTTCCCTTATCAGCGCTGTGATTTTCGGGGGCCACATGCTTATCACACCAGCCATCAAACAAAAAAAACACCTCGGACCTCCAACTCCTTGTTCTGATCCTCGCTCCCTGGCCATTCCACGATGAAGCCTCCCTCGTTCACCGGACGAGGATGAAGATCTCCTGGTTGCTCGAAAACTCATCGAAGAAACAACATCCTGGCTTCTGGATCCTGAAAGCCGATCGTGGACAAGTCGGGGCGTTTATCTTTCAAATTTGCGCAGATCTCTTCACGCCCCCCATGGCAACCAGTGCAACGATACAGGCGGTGCTCTACTGAACCAATAGCATCGCCACACAAACTGCAATGCATGTTGGATGTCTGGTATCCCTTCTCGGCCGCAGACTGCTTCGTCCAGACTGCTCCACCACGTATCGCCTTGATGCACCCCTTCCCTTGTCGAGGGTGGGAACTTCTTGCTGGCCAGCTGCGCCCGCGCCTGGTCGCGGCGCACACGTCTGGCTCCCAGAAGCACGGACAGCGCGCTGGTCCTCTCGAGCTGCTTCAACACAACTAAATGCATGGAGGGCTTTTCTACGATTCTACGCACGCAGGGCTGCGAACACTGAGAGGAACCGCACCCCCAATGCCATCTATGATCTGCGCGAAAGAGCGCATGCGCCATCCGATGCGTCGAATGGTTAAAACCATGGCCGTTGACGGATCTCCAGGTCTCCGCCGGCTGACCACCCATGAACGCAGTTCCCCAGCCCCCACGCAGCTTCTGGAAACGCGAGCAAAAACGGGAGACTTCGTTTGGTTTGCCTAGACCTTCTTTGCATTCCGCGCCATCGTGCGCGCCTCCGCGTACCAGCGCGGGCCCCGCTCGAGAATCAGCAAGCTGGCGGGGGATCTCGGCCCCGCGCTCGGCCGGCAGGTTGCCCCGAACGGGCGCGTAGCAGAGCGCCGATTTTGAACAACATAACCTGAGATCCAGCCTCCGTGCACAGGGCCTGGAAAAGGGGGCCCGGCGCGAAGAGGCGCATCGCGTAGCAGCCCATGATCTGATTATGGCGCTTGATACGGGCGGTCTTCTCTTTCAAAGTGTCGCAGGCGCAGCTCGAAACTTCTTCGATTTTAGGACGAGAAGAATATATTGACCCAGCGTGCTGTTGATGCGTTCCGGGGATTCCGGGATTTCTAACAGCCTTCGCGGAGGGTACACTTTGCATCGAATACTGTCTACCTTGCCTGGCGCCGCCGGTCGGTCACCCATTCGCAATCGAGCGGTCGCCCGTATGAGGGCTATTTGGCACTTGCGGATCCTCCTTTTCGGTGCCGAGCGCGGGGGGCACGGGGGCGCACCGCCCCGTCGCCCGCCGCCGCGCGCCCCGGAGGACTTCCAAAAACCTGGCAAAGCAGATCACGCGCGATTCTGGAAACTTCTCCAGAGGTAAAACTGAACAATCCGGAAACGTTTCTGAACATGTCCGGCTTCGATTTTGAAAAATCCCGGAATCGATTTTGAACAATCCCGGGATCGATTATGAAAAATCCCGGAATCCATCCTGTTTAAGGTTCCTGATTTCAGAATTCTTCAGATGTCCTGCGCGGCGGGCGCACTGCCCCCTCAGAACGCTTTCGCCCGAAAATGCCCTGGTTTCTTTTTGAAAAATTCCGGAACCGCTTGCGCCAAAAGAAAACGGAAGCGCTGTTTGAAACATTCTACAATCCAGACATAATACCCGGGCTGTCCGACGGGCGCGGCCAGCTGATTCGCGCGCCACGCCGCGCGCGATTGGGCCTAGTGCGCGCCGCGCCCTGCGCCCGCGAACAACGCTCGAAGGGGTCACCTCGAAAATCGCGCCATGGCAACTGCGACCCGTGAACTCCCCAGGAGCAAAACTTAATGCAGTTTGGAATCTCCGAGGGCGCTCCGACGCGCGTAACGCGCGCCGCTCGCATTGCGCAAAGAACCTGCGCGACGGAATGCGCTCGACCATTCGTCCCTGGAGCACGCGCGGATGAACGGGGCAACCTGGGAATTTCGAAACTACCAATGCCAATACTTCATGCTCCTGCGAGATTTCCCCGCGCGAAAAAAAAACGCGCCCTCCAGAGTGGTCGGCCCCGCGACTCGCCGCCGAGTTGACTGCAGTTCCAGCCGGCCCCCTGCCGCGGGGCGCTGATCTTAGCGGGCGAAGCCGCCGGCGATGCCTTCTCCGAGAACATCTGGATGCCTAGATCGGTCATGGAAGCGCGATGTATGATGCGCGAGCCTTCAAATACGCCCCTGGATGAAACTCCGCCCCGCCCCTGCGGCATCGCCCCGCGCGGCGGCGGACGGGCGCAAGGATGCCTATCGGATGGGGCCTTCCAGTCGCCTCGGCCTCAGCCTGCCTCGGCCTCAGCCTGCCTCAGCCCCCCCCCCTCCCCCCCTTCCCCCCCCCCTCCCCATTCAGCCTCACCTTGTCTCAGCTTCGGCCTGCCTCGGCCTCGTCCTCAGCCTCAGCCTCGGTCTCAGCCTCAGCCTGTCTCGGCCTGAGCCTGCCTCGGCCTCGGCCTCAGCCTGCCTCAGCCTCAGCCTCAGCCTGTCTCACCCTCAGCCTGCCTCAGCATCAGCCTCAGCCTCAGCCTCAGCCTGCCTCGGATTGCCTCGGCCTCGCCTCAGCCTCAGCCTGCCTCGGCCTCGGCCTCAGCCTCAGCCTGCCTCAGCCTCAGCCTCAGCCTGCCTCGGCCTCAGCCTCAGCCTGCCTCAGCCGCAGCTTGCCTCAGCTTCAACCTCAGTCTCAGCCTCAGCCTGCCTCGGCTTGCCTCAGCCTCAGCCTCAGCCTGCCTCGGCCTCAGCCTCAGCCTCAGCCTGCCTCAGCCTCAGCGTCAGCCGCTCAGCCTCAGCCTGCATCAGCCTCAGTCTCAGCCTCAGCCTGCCTCAGCCTCAGTCTCAGCCTGTCTCGGCCTGAGCCTGCCGCAGCCTCGGCCTCAGCCTGCCTCGGCCTCAGCCTGCGTCAGCCTCAGTCTCAGCCTGCCTCAGCCTCAGCCTCAGCCTGCCTCGGCGTGCCTCAGCCTCAGCCTCAGCCTGCCTCGGCCTCAGCCTGCCTCGCCTGCCTCAGCTCGGGCATTTAAAATATGGCACAGGACTTGTGTTCTGGGAACACGAAAATCACGAGGTGGCCCACAGTTGGCTCTGGGCAATCAAAACATGGTACAGGAATAATGTTCTGGTAACGCGAAGAACACGAAGTGGCCTACAGTTGGCTCCGGGCGTTCAAAATGTGGCCTGGGAGTGGTGTTCTGGGAACACGAAGAACACGAAGTGGCCTACAGTTGGCTCCGGGCATTCAAATTGTGGCCTGGGAGTGGTGTTCTGGGAACACGAAGAACACGAAGTGGCCGACAGTTGGCTCCGGGCATTCAAAATGTGGCCTGGGAGTGGTGTTCTGGGAACACGAAGAACACGAAATGGCCTACAGTTGGCCCAGGGCGTTCAAAATGAGGCCTGGGAGTGGTGTTCTGGGGAGTCCCTGGATCCTCCCCTGCACCCGCCCAAACCCCCTCTTGGGAGTCCCGGGGAGTCCCCGGATTCTCCCCGGCATCCGCCCAGACCCCCCTGGGGAGTCAAGATGATCTCTTTTGAGCCCACTAGAAACCTATCAGTCTTCGCTGTTAGGTATGAACAATTGGCACATGATAAGGTGGGCGGTTACATTCGCCGACACACGTCAAAAGAGATACGGCAATACTATGCGCCGCACGTGACGCGGAGAACGGGGCAGGAACGCGAACCCGAGACCTGCGCCACGGTGCGTTTGCCCGCGGCCGCGCGCACGGCGAGTGCATGCGGCGGGCACCAACCCAACCAATTACGGGGGCAAGAGGAGGGGAGGTGAAAGGGGCCCTGGGCACCTTGCAACAACCTTGCTGGTTTAGACAAGGCTGCGGAAAAAAGGGAAACCTGGCACGAACTACCCGGGTTGGCCGCCCGCGGCAGCGCAATGGCCAACGCGCGCAGGAACCCAGCCCGCAGCAGGCTCAAGCCCGCGAGCCGCCAATGCCATGGAGGAGGGGGGCGACGACGGCTGCCCTAAGTCCCGCTGGGACACAAGGTGACCCCGAACGAGCTCGCACGTGCACTTGAACAGCGCCTCCTTCGCTGCAGGTCCAGCGGACACGCCGCCGCGCCGCAAAAGACAATGCGGTTTATACACGGCTGCCGTGCGCACCGCCTTGCGCACGTGAACATAAAACTCGGCCGTCACTCGGCAGATGGGCATATCCAACAGCAGGAGACACCTCATGCCCTGTTGTCGTGACGCTGGGCGGCGAAGCCCTAACCTTGTCCAAACAAATTGCCAAAATACCGGGTAAGTCGTGTAGTGCTCGATAGCATACAGAGCTGCCATGCTGCAGAAAATGCACTGGTCACGCATCAGCCTTGCATGCGCCGGTATGTCACCCACCCGTTCCACTCGTGCGCCATACAGCTGACCACGTCCGAAGAGAGATCCGCGCCCTGGGTTCGTAGAGCTGAAATGCCAAGAGCGGTGTTCTGGTAAGATGCAAGATTGCCAGGACGGACTACTCAGGCGCAGCCGTCATGCTGATTCGCGGCGTTGCAGTCTCAGGAAAAGAAGCACGATTGAGGGTTTCTCAAGCGATTGTTTGTAAAACGACAGTTCCCGCAACGAACATACAATCTTGTAGAGACCTGCGAGGGCACTTGGAGGGAGGGTGTATGGCAACATCGTTGATCCGCCTTGGGTTTTTACTAGTCATCCTCCACCTCTACCTCCCCTCTTTCCACATTCTGCTCCTGCATCGTGCTCCATCTCCTTCTCCTCCTCCGCCTCGTCCTCCTCTCCCCTCCTAATATTCTCCCTCCCTCCTCCTCCTCCTTCCTCCTCTTCCCTGCACGTCGAACGATGGAGCACAGAAGTTCAGTCCAATGCAAGCAGGGCGCGGTTGTAAGTGCTGGGTTATGCACCAGAGGTTTCGATCGCACGCAGTTGCCAGGAGCTGGCAGTCACACTACTAGAGCGGACCCCGCACACGAGACGTCGGTAAAGGGAGGTCCGTAAGGTCTGGTAAGCAGCCTCTACGAGGAGACGCGCCACGTATCGTCCATCCTGCTCTGGGATGCGCAGACGCTCGCCGTCGTCGTCGCCTTTGCCACAGACGCTCGCCTTCGTCGCCCGCGTCACTGCAGCCACTCGTCGTCGTCGTCGTCGCCGCCGCCGTCGCCGCCGTCGCCGCTGTCGTCGTCGCCGTCGCTGCCGCGGCCGTCGCCGTCGTCGCCGCCGCCGTCTTCGTCGCCTGTGCCAGCCCAAGATCATGGTCTTCCCTCCGCCCCGCCGCTGGGGTCCAAATCGGACGGCCGCGCCGTCACCTTGAAGGCGGCGTGGAACTGCCACCACTCAGGGACGTCGGCCCTCGGGAGCCGCGCGGCCGCAGGCGCGGGGGAGCGAAGGGGGGATACGGGCAATCGGAGAGCATGTGGGGGAGGGAGGGGGGGCAGGAGGAAGGGAGACATGGGGGAGCGGGCAGAGTGGGCTTCGGAGCCGCGCCGCCGACTAGAGGGGGAAGGCATAGAGGAACACCAGCAGCAACAGCAGCAACACCACCACCACCACCAACAACAACAGAAGCACCAGCAACACCACAACAAACAACAATACCACCAACAACAACACCAACAACAACGCCAACAACACCACCAAATACAACAACAACAGCAGCACCAACCACCGACACCACCTCAACATCACCAGCAGCAACAGCAGCAACAACAACAACACCAACACCTGCACCAACAACAGCAACACCAACACCAACACTGCATAAACATTTAACTTTCGGATGTCCGCGCAGATTTCTTGCATCCGCGCTGGACGCCCCTCGGTGGCGCGCGGAGCACGCCAGCGTCGTGCCCGAGGCGCCGCCACAGGCACCCAGCGCCGATCCAAGAAACCCGCGCGGACCGTCGATCGTTTATGCCCATGTGAATGCTTCCTTCTTCGAGGGAGGAGAGGCAGGAAAGGAGGCCGTTGCCAGAGGGAGAGAAGGGGGCTGCGGTAGAGGTTGGGGCGGAGGTGGGCAATGAGGTGGAGGGAGGGGGAGCGCAACAGGAGCATCGGCTCTGCGCACCACGAGCGCCGAGCCAATGGCTAGTCATCGCTAAAGTTCAGGCGACGTGCTCAACGACTCTGGCGCGGCGTATCTTCTTAACATAAAATGAACGGACGCGAAGCACGGAGGTACGCCCCCTCGCAACTATTGGCATGATTGTCACACCCATGCCTAATCAGCCCCAAGGACTTTCCAGCCTAATGCTGGGGTATTTGGCGGCAAACTTCCTGGTGAGAGGAAAGCAACAAGCTCCCATCCACCTCGACCATGCTGGCAGCAGGTAATACATTGCCAATTTTGAGAGGGGTGGATGCGCTCTCCTCAGCCTCACACGGAGTCGCACACGCCTCGATATTGGGGCACTCGGGAACGATTGCTTTGAATCGCGCGCGCCTGACTTTCGAGCCAGACGGTTGAAGGAAATACTGGCTCGCACTGATGGCCTGCTGGAGCCGAGTGGGCCTCTAGGCTTTGGGCGGCGCTGGGCCCTTCGCAGACCCAAGGCGCGGCGGCCACAACATCGACCCCTGCGTCGATGAAAGATGCTCGGACATCGTGCAGGTCGGCCGAGCGGTTGCGATCCTGCGACCGCTTGCTCGCTCGCCTGCGCCCTGGGTCTGCGCCGCATTCTCGACCGCACTCTGCCCGCGCGGTCGCGCGGCTCGCTCTTGGGGTCGGGCCCAGGGTGAGCGAGTTTAGAGGTCCGCGCGGATTTCTGGATCTGCGCGGACTTCTCGGATCCGCGCTGGATCACCCCCGTGGCGCGCGGAGCGCGCCAGGGGGGCGCTGGAGGCGCCGCCAGGGGGATCGTGCCGAACGCTGAGAATTCCTGCTTATATCATTTCTTCTTCGAATGTTGGCGTCGCAACTCGGCCGCCATGTCCTTGCGAGCGCCGCGGGGAGGCATCGCGCCTGCTGCCCGCAGGCCGCTGGCAGCTTCACGGTGTTTTGGCTGAGCTTCCTGGCCTTCTCCGTGAGACTGCGTCCTCTCTGACGTTCCTGCGTCCACCAGCGGCGTGATCCATTCGACGAAGAGAAAAAAGAAGACGGCGCAATCATACACTTTTGGAGGTCCTCCCAGTTTTCTTAGATCTGCGCTGAACCCCCCTCCCTGGTACGCGGAGCGCACCAAGGACGGCGCCGGATGCGCCGCCAAGGGAGTCCAGCGCAGATCCAAAATATCCACGTGGAGCGTCGAACATGTATGTTTATGTGAGTCTTAGCTCTTCAATCTAAGCGCCAAGCTGGTCGCGCGCATGGAGTGCGACCTTGTCGCCGAAGGCGACGACGACCGTCTTCGGCGAGACTGCCAGTTCCGCCTCGTCCGCACCATCGTGCTCGACGCCAACCAGGCTCTGCGCCGCCTGCTGGTGACGTCCTCTTGCCAGAGCCATCGTGCCTCCGACGAAGATCCACAAGCCTGCATCGGTGCAGTCTGCGTGGGTTCTGGCCAAGATTGGACCCATATCTACCTTGGCCGGCCGGCTGTCACGCGCTCTTCCTGCTACGATCTATCGGAACGGCTGGATATGCTTGGCGGGCCAGGAATGCACGCGGGGAAACCGCAATGCCAGAACGCGTTGGGCCTCGAGGACAGCCGCCCGCTGCCCGCAGAAAAAACCTTGTCCATTGCGATGTTCAGATAGATGACATTTCTATATCCACTGACAGGGTGGCCATGGGCAAGTCGAACTCACGGCACGCTTTGCCGAGGCAGGCCCTGAGAAAAAGGTGGCGCTTCGGGCGCTGGATGTTTTATGGCGGTGTCCCAGAAGCCGTCTATAGATAACCATTAATATGCGGTGCCGCCTGGATGACCCGGTACTTTCGACTATCCTCAGACGTGTGATGATGCGCCATCGCACGCTTGTCCACCGAAGCCCTTCAGCACGACGCAAGCGGCGTAATGAGGGCTGGAACAGGCGGCGCACTATCGGCGGGGCTGAGCAGTGCAAGCGAAGATTGGACAAGCACGCGTCCTGAGGATCATCGATCGTTGAATAATTACGTAGCGCCCCGCGCTTGCGGATAGGAGTGCGGGTGCGGCGGCGGGGGCGCACGCGTTTTCCCTCCCAGTCCACGAACTGTTCCTCCCATGTGTTTTTCCCAAGTGCTGCTCCCACGTGTTGCCCCCAAGTGTCGCCCCCATGTGTTGCCCCCGAGTATCGCCCCCATGCGTTGCCCCCAAGTATCGCCCCCCATGTACCATGTAACGCCCCTTCACGGGGGTAGAAACCAATTAGACCAAAAGTATTTGCTGGGGCGTCACGCTGTCACCCGGCTCATCCTTTCCTCATCATGCTCGTCCTCCTCCTCATCGTTATCCTCGTCCTCCTCCTCCTCCTTTTCCTTGTCCTCCTCCTCCTCCTCCTCCCCCTCCTCCACGTCCTCCTCCTCCTCCGCCTCCCCCTCCCTGCCTCGGGCGTGATGGACCATGGGACCTCATAGAGCCTCCTGGTAATCCCGGGGGCCTCCTGGGATAGCAACCTCTGGGGACTTCCTGCGGCCTCTTGAAACCTCCTGGGCTCTCCTAGGGTATCCTCAGCCCTCCAGGGGCGTCCGCAGCGTTCTGGAACTTTTGGGTCGTTCAGGATACGCCCGGAGCGTGATGGGGCCTCCTGGGGCCTTGTGGGACCTCGCGGGGCATCCTGGGACCTCCTGAAGCGTCCTGGAGCCTCCTTAGGATTCCCACGGCCTCCGGGGACGTCCTGAAGCCTTTTGGAGCTTCCTGATGCCACCTGAGACCTCCTGGGGCCTCTTGGCGGCTCTCTAAGAAACCACGCGCGGGGCCTCAACATTGGCGACAAATTCAAGGATGGGAGCCTTCCCATTGAGAAAGAGGGCGCGGTGGACGTTGAAAAATGACGACAGTTACACACTTGAGGCCCAAAACCGGGCCGGGCGCCCCCCCCGCCATTCCCGGTCCTGCACAATACGGTGCGATTTGCCCCCTCCCCGCTGTCCCGCTGGTCCCCGGGAGGGGTAGTTTTCTGGTTTTCGCTGGTAAGAAACACTCCCCCCCCCCTTTCGGCGGTGACGGAGGGCAGGCGGCGGGGGAGAGCGGGTTGGCAGGGTGGCTAGTTGGGCACGGAGAACAGGCGGAGGGGATCGGCTGGTTGGCTGGATGACGGGGTGGGCGGCTGGGCTGGTTGGCTGACGGGTTGGCTAGGTGGCGGGGTGGCTGGGTGGGCTGGCTGGCTGGTTGGACGGGTTGGCAGGTTGAGCTGGCTAGGGCAATTGGTTTCGATCGCCGCCACGCGTCGCCCCCGTGCACTGCCCCCAAGTAACGCCCCCGCGCGTTGCCCCCTGGCATCGCCTGCATTGCGCCCGGCCCCCCCCCCCCCACGCATTGCCCCCGAGCATCGCCCAAAACTACTGCCCCAAAATATCGCCTCCAGCCACGCGCGCGCAAGGGAAAAATAAGACCGTTCGGGCCCCCATCACTTGTTCTGCGGTCCTGGCAGCCTTTAGCGCGGTACCCTGGCGCCCCCTTTTCTAGCCGCGGCTAGACGAGTGAAAAACAACGGCGCTGGGAACTTACAGAACAACTGCGCGGAACTGCCAGGGCACCTGCGCCGGGCTGGGCCGGGTCAGGCTGGGGTTCGGGCCACCTCGCTCTGATCGCGCGGGTCCTCGTCGCCCGCCTCGGCGGCCAGGGCGGCGCCGAAGAACGTGGCGGGTGTCTGAATCAACTCCTGCTGCGTCTGCCTATGCCCCCCCTACCTATACGTCCACCCCGCGGGCGATCTGGAAGTTGGGGGAGGGGGGGGATTGTTGCGTTGCCGCTCGCTCTCGGAACCTCGGCGTCGAGCTGCGCGCGTCGCCCTTCGCTCCTGGGCGCCTTGGCACCATTCTCCCTCCCCGGGGACCAGCGAAAAAATACTTTATTTCGTGTGTTCTGCATGTGCTTGGGGGGGGGGGGGGCCGTCTGGGCGCGTCTTTTCTCTAGGGGGGTTGTGGAGGCCTCTCTGGGTGCTCTTGGGGGCGGGGGCCTCTCGGGCGCCCTTTCGGGGGCGGCGCGCTCGAAGCTTTTCCGGCGCCGCGCGGTCGAGCATCGGAGCGTAATGGCGGCGGGGGCGGGCTGGCGGCGGATGCCTCGCAGCGTCGCGCAGGCGACGGGCGCGGAGACGGCGGAAATGGCCGACGCAGAAGCGCCAGCAAAGCCTGGCGCATCCTATTGCCCGAGCGCCGGGAAGCGCCCGTGCGCGCCGCGCGCAGCGAGACGAGGCGGAGCTGCGACGCGCTGGCGCATTCTGGCGCGGGCGTCTGGCGCCATTGCAACTCCCGCGATAGATAAACATAT